TATAATATCTTATAAATGTAAGAAAAAAAACAAACTCAAAACAGTCTAATACATGTATATTTTTTTAATTAATTAATCACATTATATATTTGATTATGTATATTCTTTAATCATATTATATAATTAATTATAGAAGGGTTTATTTTTATTTGAGTATGTTGGCTGAAGAACTACTTTGCATAATAAATTATATTTAAAAAGTAGCAAGAATTTATTAGCTCATATAAATAATATTTGAAATTTATTTAACTTCTTTTTAAGTAATTTTTTTTAATAACTATGTTATTCATATAAAATATTTATTAGTTTTGTTAATAATTAATTTTTATAAAAAAAAATTAACTATTTATAATAGAGTCTTTTCTTTCGATCACTCTTTTTTATGTACAAAATTTAAATTAAAAATTTTATTTAAAAGATCAAATTCAAGATTACTTAAATCAACAACTTGTTATTATTTTTTAATGTAGTTTTCATGCTTATCGTCGTTTTCTTTCATTAATTACCATCGAATTCATATTTATACTTCATATTTACACTTTTTAAAACTAACTAATCTTAGTATGGTTAAAAAATTGTAATTTTAATTTTCCTTCAATAGTTAATATATATTTCCAAATTTTTCTTTCCATTATAGAAATTTTAAAATAAAAATAACAATGATAATATCATTGTCGATTGAATAAATGATTTAAAATCTGATCCAAACTTTTCAGAACTAAAATTTCTTATTAATTTCTATTGATCTTATAAGTAAAGTCATAAATCAAATATAAATTACTGAATTTTAATTAATCATTAAATAAATAATGATGTATATTTTTAAAATATCAATATATTGACGTTTTATTTGATAATTTTTAAACCGACATCAGTTATCTACCATTTTCATTGAAGAAAAAAAAAAGGTGAGAATCATGGAGATACTCACACACGCCATTGCAAGCGGCATCCTGGTTTTTCGAATTTGTTGATCCTTCTGCTCTCTCTATGGGGGGATCTAAATTATTACGGCAACAGTGATTGTGTGAAGGAGACCGTTTATAAAATTAACTTTAAATTATTTTTACTAATTTGGTTTTTGTTAAATTAAAAGTTAATTTCTTTATGATTTAATTCTACAAATATGATGTGTATGCAGCCGCGTTAAATTTTGGGAACAATTATTCCATTATTTGAAGTGTCTCTAACGTAACGAGGAGATTATCATCACTATCGATAATTATTACTCCAAAGACAAAAAAAAATAAAAATTCTACAAATATGCATAATTCAAATATGAACAAATAAACACCCACAAGTCAAACAAAAGGACCTACAAAGTCTGCTAACATAAAATATTGTCAGAGGTTTAAAAAATCTCAGACTGTCAATTTTTCAATATTTGAAAGATGTAGAACTTTTCGTTATTTTATATTTTTTCATGTATAAGAATAATAAAAACGACACTAAGACTAAACTTGTATATATTATTTCAATTTTCACCAATTTTACCGATGGTTCATAACACTTTTTGTTTAAAACAATTACTAAACACTGTATTTATCTACTTTTTTCTTCATTAATTGTTTCATCATTTATTTTACTTTCTATATTATGTGAATTTTTTTTTTGTCAGAACTGCATTTGAATCCGTTAGTCAAATTGATAATTGATTAATCTATTAATCTGAAATAATCATAAAATTAGTATATAAAAAATCAATAAAAAAATTAGATGAATCAGTTCAAAATCAGGAAAAATCGCTTAATAATCAATCTAAAAAGTTGGGTTGAATAAGTATTTAAAAAAATATTTTATTTTTATTTTCTAAACTTTTTTTAAATATATATAATTTAGTCATTTATATTAATTTATAATATTTATATCATAATATTTTATATTATACTAATTTAAGATTTTTTTACTCTAAATATAAAATTGTTAATATATATTGTTATATTTTACTAAAATTTAAATTTAAATAGTATTAAAACTTTTACATGCACTTTAAAAAATAAAAATATGTAAGATGATGTTTACTTTTAATTTTATAAAATTTTGATATTATATTTATGTGATATTATTTTGTGTGTTATTTAAATATTATTGTTATTTTAT